GCAGAGCCACAAAGATGATGAAGGGAGTGGAACATCTTCCTTAGGAGGAAAGGCTGAGGGAGCTGGGTCTGTTGAGCATGGAGAAAAGGAGACTGAGGGGTGACCTCATCAATGTTTACAAATATGTTAAGGGCGAGTGTCAGAAGGACAGAGCCAGGCTTTTTTTCAGTGGTGTCCAGTGATAGGACAAGGGGCAATGGGTGCAAACTGGAACACAGGAGGTTCCATGTGAATATCAGAAAAAACTTCTTTCCTGTGGGAGTGACAGAGCCCTGGGACAGGCTGCCCAGAGATGTTGTGGAGTCTCCTTCTCTGGAGACATTCAAACCCACCTGGACACGTTCCTGTGTGATGTGCTCTGGGTGACCCTGCTCTGGCAGGGGGGTTGGACTGGGTGATCTTTCGAGGTCCCTTCCAACTCCTAAGATTCTGAGATTCTGTAATAGAGAATGAATGTGTACCACAGACTTTTCAGAAATACACCTGGCTGGTCACTACACTCTAGGAGAAATAACAGCATGAAACATGTTGAGTAGCTGATTTGCCTTCACAGTCCGTTTTGCTGTGAGTCACTCCTGGTAGGTAATTTACACAATATTCCTCAGTGTTTTTGCAGCTGAGGAGAGGAAGGATTCATTCTTCTCATGGCTGGACTTCAACTTAATAGTGGTTGGACTCAGTGATCTTGAAGGTCTTTTACAACCAGAAAAATACTGTGAATGATACTGTGATTAATATCAATTCAATTACATTACTTGGCTAAGAAAAAAGTAGTTTATTTGAATGCAAAGGACGGGGCAAATTTCTGATGAATAAAGCAAGTTCACTTCCTTTTCAGCCAGAATCCTAGGAGTGAGCTTCCCCTACTTTAAAAAAAAAAAAAAAAAAAAAAAGCTAAAATATTTCTTGGGTTCAGGTATGTTTAAAGTAATGCCAGTATTAGCAACTCACCCTTTGGGAAAATAAGGAAGCCATTTCCCATGCCTGGGCAAAATGTGCAAAGAGACCTGTGAAAACAGAGTATTTCCACAATCCAAATAAAAGCAACAGTAATATTTTTTTTTGTGTGTAAGTTTCTTTTCTAGTTCTTTTAATGTTCTCTATGTAGCCCTGGTAAATTTGAGGTAAGGAATGTTTGTACCTGCATGCTAATCTGGGATCAGCTTGCTGCCAAGAAGTGTTCTCTGAAGTTAATGTTATCATTTGGGTGCACATTTACCAAGCTCTTATCCTGCATCTGGTCAAAATATTAGGAAACATAAGAAGCACTTTTAAAAAGCAGTTACTGTTCTGGAAATAGGAGATACAGTGAGTATTTGAAGCACATTTGTGCTTCATATACTGTGTGCATTTGTGCTTCATATACTGTGTGCACAAGGACATTTGACAGTAAGAAAAAGCACTTGAAAAGATGGCTAGGATATTCTCAGAGAGAGCATTGTTTTAATAGATTAGGAGACCTCCTTCTTTGCTTCTGCAGATCTTATCTACATCAACACCTTTTCTTCTCCTTTAAAAGAATCTGGATTTTTTTTTTTTTTAGGTGAGCAAAACTGAGAATGGCAGAGGCAGCCTGGACATGATTAGAACAAAACAAAACAAAAAAACATACACACATGAAAAAAAAACCCAAAACCACACAAACATAAAAACCTGAACAAACAAAAAAAAACAACAAACAAAAAACAAATAGAAGAGGATCCTATTGAGAACAGGGAGAGCTAATTTCAGGCAGTGCAAAGGAAAGATGAAATTGAACAGAAAAGGAAATAGAAAGTCTTGGCAAAAATAGCTGCTGTGCCAAGCAAGATGTTGGACATAAGCAGAAAATAAAGCTGTAATGACCTGTGCATTGCACAGTTATGTGTAGCAGCAGTGGATATGATGCTTTACAGATACTTCAATGTAAAGCTTTTCTTTGAAGAAACAGTGGAGGCTATAATATCAAATATTGCCAATGCAGAAATTGATATACTCCTACGCTTAGTACAGCCTGCATGTCTGCAATGTTAGTGAAATCCAAGCACAAAGAAAAAGTGTCCACAAGATTATTTTTCCCCCCTCACTTTTCCTGCAAAGCTTATCAAGTCTCTTTCCTAGGAAAAAAAAACCTGCCAAAATGGTGGGGTTTATGCAACCATCCCCATGTCCTGGGGATGACACATCAATGGAAGAAAGGATGTTTAGATGTTGACATGTCAACATGACCATTTGGTCCTATGACTGATATCCCTCCCACACAAATTTGCGTTCGGGTTGATTTTAGGCATAGGTGAGTGCTGTCAGATTGTGTTTCTTCGTAGGAGAGGATCTTGGAAAATTATTTAACAGCAAAACTTCTCTTTCTTTAGATAACTTCATGAAGCAGGGCCAGGGCATGCTCCTGCTCTACACCATGAAGAACCCCTCCTTCCCAGAGTATGTCTTCACTAGTGAGAGTGGCATCATGTGCCTGGACTTCCATAATGACCACCCCTGCCTCATGGCAGTGGGCTTCTATGATGGCAACGTGGCCATCTACAACCTGAAGAAGACAACCTCCCAGCCCAGCTACAAGAGTAGTGCTAAGTCAGGAAAGCACACGGAGCCAGTGTGGCAGGTAAGGGTTCTTTTGCTATCATCTAACTGGGCTTTTCATTGGGCTGAGCTTGGGCATAGCAGGACAAGTGCTATACGGGTAAAGGTGCTGGTTTCATACATGCATCATTGTTGGTTTTATACATGCATCACTGATCTTAGAAGTCTTTTCCAACCTTAAGGATTCTATGATTAGCAACTGGTTATTAAGTTGTATTTCAAGCTGAGTTTGAAATTTGCAGAGAGACAAAGCAGTTACATTAATCCTTGATCCTCAACAGCAACTAAATATGTCATCGGAAGCTTGCTATACACAATTATTTCTCTTTAGTTTTCATTATTATAAATAATTTCTGTTTGGGTTTGGAACTAAGCTCTTCTGTGTATACCTGCATGAAATGCTATTTATGTACTGAACACAAAGTCATGGGGCAGCATGTGATGAGTAGTTTGTAAAATGCATGAAGAGAGCTCTGTTGAGTACAATACAGCCAGGGGCAGCTGCCCGTGGAATTGGCTGCCACTGGGGTTCAAGGTACACTACCTTGTAGTTGACACTGAAGTATTTCAGTGAATCAAGAATTGTGATGTGCAAGTAATGCTTTTAAGGTAATGCCACTCTGACATCTGTCACAAAGAGTCACCAGATAGGTGATGTTGTGAAAGACTGTGGTGAATATGTAGCTCCACCCAGCTAACTTTGCAGTTGTGCCTGTAGTGTGACTGGGAGGTATCTGCACTTCTGATCTCACTTGGATCAGAAGTGTGGCAGCACCTGATCTATACGAGCCTCTTGAGGTGCAGGATGTGTGTTTGGTCTACCAGCCTGGGTTGCAGCTGGTGCTTCTGTGAACTATTGCTGTCATCTGGTTTAGGCTGCCTGATCCCATCATACCTCTGGACACACTGCCAATGTTCCTTTGGCACAACGGATGCATGGATTGTCCCCCAGCCATGTCCTTGTTACTGCATCTTCCAACAGAAGTCTGAGAAATCAAGGGATCTGATGGGACTGCGGATGAATGTGGAATATGCCAAGAGCAAGACTGGTGCTTGCTGTGAACAGCAAGGTTATACAAATGTATCATTTTGGAGTATACCTGAATTTTATATTTACAGCTTGCACGTCCAAAGCTTTTCCTCTAGCACTCGATTTTAGCTCTTCTTACAGGTTAACGTGGTACCCCCGCTGTGGGTCATTACTGTAATACAATGTGTCAGGCACACGGACACACACACAGGACTCCAAGCTTCTCCCATTGCCAAGTAGGCTTCCAGTGAAAAAACCTAATACAATGCTACATCCCATATAGAGCTTTTGATGGCCTGGCTGCTGCATGCTGCAGGACACCAGCAGTTGTTACTGCACGCTATAAATGCTGGAATTTCAGGTCATCTGTGCCACAGATGATACAGGGGAGGACAGAGTATGCTTAAAGGGTGTTATTAGTGGCTTCATCCCTACAGACCAGAAGCAGGTATTTTCAGTAGTAGCAGCAGTCTGTATGGGGCTTTTAGAGGTAGGTGTGTGTGTACCATTTAGCAGCAAAGTGTTTCTGAAGTGAAAAAAATCATTAGGCACTCTAGAAACAGCTCTGAATAGGAGAGAAAATGCCTCATGGGTATGGATAGATGTAGGTATGGGTAGACTCCAGTTTCTGCTTGTTTATTTTATTTCCAAAGACTGAATGCTGAGAATCATTATTCTTAGTTCTCCTCTGCAATAAAGTACTGATATATTTAGTAGACTTTACAGTTTTTGACCTGCTATGAAACTTGAATTGTCCCCCTAGTGAGCAACTAGTAAGCTAGTGAACTTACTAGTAAACTAGTGAGCAAAGGTAGTAATAAAGTGATTGCACAGCAGTCAGGAGGAGACCTTGTACCTCTGTTGGAGTGATCTGGACTGTAGGCACTTGTAAATATCAGCCAAGATGTTTAGAAAAGGTTTTCTCTTCGTCTGATGGAAGGAAAGGTGTTATGAAGGACTATCTGTCATGTTGATACATTGGATTGTTATTCCTCCTTCAGCATTAAATGCTTTGTTGATGCCTTGTTTCTCATACTTCATTCAAAGATGCTCTGTGCTGCCCCTCCAACACCCCAACTAGTCTGAAGTCTGATCTTTGTCTGTCTGCCATCCTGGACAGTCCTCACTGTGGTAGGGACTGCAAGCCCATGGCTTTGAAGAGCCGTTAGAGAAGTAACAAAGTTCTCCTGAACAAATAGGAGCCTTTGTTTGCTGGACTGCCTGGCTCCTTCCTTTTGAATCAATACAGCCCTTTCACCACAAAAGCAAAATGGGAAGTGAGTAAAGCAGGCTGACAGCTCTTTTCTTGCGCCGTTTCCTATTCAGTGATTTATTAGTATCTGAGTAAGTTTGTGTAAAACAAAGCTGATGTAACATAGAGCATTATTAAGAGCAAAGTAGAATAATGTACATTTTCTAATTCTCTTAACTAAAAATGAGTTTGCCTGATATGGGTCCCTGTGTTTTTAAAGAGCATAGCAATGGCTTGTAATGGAGCTGGCAATTGTCTTCCATGCATCAAGGGCCACTGAACTGTAAATAATGGCAAATTCTGGCTTGTTTACATTACACATTTCTAATTCCTTACTACCAGTTGATTGAGATCCAAACCCAGAAAGGAATAAACACATCCATAGACATGTGAATGTGGCTAATACACCACCAAACCCTTAGGTCCTATAGGAACATAGAGCTAGAAGTCGTCTCGCAGGTCTCTGCATTTGGCTGCGAACACCTGCTCAAAAGTCATCTACTCCTGGGAAAATGTGTCAAGCCTGTCATGTTCTGCTAGGCAAGACAGTGTGAGGTTAAGCCAAACCTCGCTTTAATCCAAATAATGCTCTGGGTAGTCAGCAAAGTCCTCACACTCACATAATCTCCGGCACTGGGTACTGCTAGAAAACAAGTCCCTGGGCAGGGTCTGTTTGAACCAGTGTTTCAGTCCTAGGGCTTGTCTCTGGATGTTAATGAGGGTGGTCAAAGTGGGACTGCTTGACTAGACTTTGCCATGCAGAGCCCACAAAACCAGTCTTCTCTGGGGAGAAGTGACACTCTCCTGGGAAGGGGCTTTCAGCATAGAGCCTCTCCCTTGGCCAGCCTTTGACCTTTGTTCCACTTTTTCCTTTCTGTTCAAAAAACTATGATGATTAGTGTTTACTTACAGCTGAAAGGAGTGCTTTTTTTCTTACCTTCCATCACTGGTATGTACTAAATATTTTAGATTTGCAGTGTTTGGAAGCTGGAACAGTTCAGAAACTTGCTTTTATAACTGAAACTACTGTGTCAACGTTTGTTTTCTGCTTCCTAATACACATCTTATTCAACAGATTTTTTCCCACTGTGTACTTCTAGTTCACTTTCACCTCAAACTAACAGGATGCTATTTCTGCTTGCTGCCGGGACTAGTACAGAGCCAATACTTCTGCAGAAGGTTGAAAGTATTTTTTTCTTTACTTCTGCACTATCATAATTACTGGCTAAATTCCCACTGTAGAGTGCTGACCCTAAGATCTGCAAAGGGAACATTTCTTTTGGCTTTGCTTAGAGAAAATCTCAGCTGTGTTTGGCTTGCCCCATGTGCACAGCATGGTTGGAATTGCTGTGGAGAGATCACTGGTTAGAAAAGCAACTTGGTTCATTGTTAATTTACTGAAGCTGATCTGGCCTCCCCGAGGAGCTGATGCCATGGAGCTTCAGACAGCATCCTGAAAGAATTCTTTTCTGCCTTATATTAATGCATGGGAGGAGGAAAGGTGGCCACTGCTTGCTAATTCTTCACCAAATGCTATTCAGGCTGAATGTGATGCCCGTAATGACAAGGCAGGACAATAATAGTCTGCAAACTGCCAGAGGAAACTACAGGGCGTGTCAGAATAGTTTCCCAGTAGAACTTGTGGTAAGTCCCATCTCAGATATAAACTAGATAAAACATACCTGAGACTTGCTTACAGGAGTCTGCCCCATAATTATATTATTCTTCTCCATCTCTGCTTTCTGTGTTTTAAGTCCTTTGATAGGTCTACTCTAAATCTTGAGAGTTCATGAAGCCACCCTAGACTCACTGAGGTCTTGTTTTGCTGATGGGAGTAAATGGGTTCTATTCCAGAATCCCTTTAAAGTCAGCATGACCTGCTGTTCTCTGTCCCACTCCATGCTGCTGGGCACAGGTCCACAAAAAAAAAACAAACCTAAAAAAAAGAAAAAGAAAGGGCCTTTCCAGGAAGCTGATTGTTTTCACTGCATTTAAGAGAAGAAAAAGCATTTTCTTCATTATCCACTGTCACACCAGTGCATTGTTTTTTTTCTGATGACAGGCAGTCTCCTAAATCTGTCATCTGCAGTCAGACAAACAGACTTCACAGCTTGCACAGCCTTTGAGATGTTACTGCTTCGCATAGTATTTTGTTTGTTTTACTTGAGGCAAACAAAGAGTTGGATGCAAAGAAAATAAAAGAAAAAAAAAATGATAGAAGGTTGCTCTCAAGGTCAGAATAAAGATCAGCTCTCTCAGACAGGCTAAACACCCTTCCTGTTCCCTTTTCTGCTGAGGAGCAGGGAACAGATGTTTGCTGGGAGTAGTTCTGTGGCAAAACCTCATTCAACTCTGCACGTTAGATACTGTTAGTGGATAACTGTAGGGGAGAACAGAAATTTGGAGAAGAAAGGAGAAGTGAAACCAAGAAGGCTGGACCTGAGATATGATTGAGGAACATCAGGATCAGAGCTGGCAAGTGTGAGAATGTAGCCTGAAGGGATCGATGGTGAGAATCATTTAGCACAAAACCTCTAGGGTAACACAAGGATCTCTCACACTCAGTGGAATGCATGCACAGAGGACCTTCCTCTCCAGCACCAGCTTTCTCCTACTTCTTTCTTGCTACCAGGTCTGCCTTGCATACCTGGCCCTCTGCTAACAGGGCAAAAATCTAATTAACCTCTTACGTCCTGGGAGAAAAGGTGGCCACTGTATCTCATGGGAGAGGTCACTTCAG